AACAATGATCACCTCAGGAATGGCAAGGATCGACCTTGCAATCCGAAACAGGGAGCGGAGGGTGGGTGAAAAATTAAGCAAGCATGCTAAGCGAAGCTTTTGTTGAGCTGGCTGTCGAGCTTGATCCCGAAAGCAGCGCGGGATCACAAGCTGCGAAATAAAGCTGGAAACAAAACTGAGTAAACACAGGTATCGTTCACAATCTTTATTTACGACAGCCAGCTCACAACTACACTGAAGCTATAGCGAGGCTCTCTTTTGACTGGTGGTGCAACGGCTGAAGCAGTGCAAGCTATGCAGAAGCAAAGCGAGCATTGTGAAGCTGTTGTCGAAAGCCCATAAAAGCTACCAGGAGAAAGGAGTCTCGCGCTGCACCACCAAATGAAACGGTGAGACGACTGCTGAAAGGCTCACGCTGCATGTCCCAGAAAGGGAGGTCGTAAAGCAGCTCATCTGTGGCGGGCATGTCCCCATGAAAAGAGGAGGCCCCATTTGGCATGTCCTCGCGAAGGGAGGAGGCCGTAAACATTTGGCATGTCCCCGCAAAAGGAGAAGGCCGTAAGCATATGGCATGTCTCCCAGAGAATGGAAGAGGCCGTAAAGCATCAATGGTTATCGGCATCGTGAAAAAGCTGCAATGTAGGCGCTTCCCATGAGGGCTGGAAGCCATCTGGATAGAATGAAACGCAACGCTCTCGAAACCAAAGCTGACGTAGGTCAAACTCGGAAGAATACCGGAGGGTAAAGCATCCTGTCCCTTCCAACGAGACAACCAATCAGCCAACTCATTGCGAGGTCCAGAAATGTGCGTCGCATCGAGCTCTATGCCAGAAAAGCAGCTAAAAAGCGCTAAGCGTTGAGCAAAAATACTCAAGGGATATGATGAAGTAAAAAGCTTGTTGCTGACTGACTCTGCACCCGTATTGTCTGACCAGCTTGGTATCCTTACATGCATTCGGCCGCCTGGGGTAGCTGCTGAAAGGCAGTGAAGCAAAGCAATCTGAGCCAAGCACTCATAACATGAAATGTTATCAGATGCACGTGAACTAAGCTCAATGCCTGCGAATGCAAAGTCCGAAATCGCAAAACCTTCGCTGAACCAAAGGGTCGCCGTCGAAAGCTTGATGAAACCGCCAATGGCAAAGTTGGTACCAGACCCCATTGCATCAGCCGCCGCAACCAAGGTGATCCTGGGCGTAAATTGTAGCGGCCGAAGCAATGTCGGCAATTTGCACCATGTTGCCAAAAGCTCAGAAAAGCAATGCTGTTCTTGGACAGCTTGCGTTTCACCTGAGAAGGGTCAGCAACACGAACCCAAACGCGCTTAGAAGAAAGCACGATTTTTGCAAGGTCAGAGCGGCGGCGAATAGGCATATGCCGGACATCAATCAGTTTGGCGCTGAGAGGGATAGCAGTACCAGACGGTACACGTACAAAGAGTAAGTTGTCGTCAACGCCATCATGCAGATCAGCAAAGTAATGCGGGTCGATGCTCTGCAAAGTAGCAGGGGGGCAGTGAAGATCCTTGTAGAGCACCCCGACCCACGGTCGAAGATGAGGAAAGGCATGTAGAAACCACTGAATCATGCCAGTCACTTTGTGCAAGTCCCGCTTGTGCTCGTTTTCAGAGTTGCGCAGCAAAGCTGTGACCTGCAAAAGCAAACGATCGCGCTTGCTCTGTGGAATAGAAAAGCAGCCTGCGCGTACATTGATGCACCAGCCTATCCACACCACTTCTGGTCCAATGTCCAGTTTGCGCCAGCTTAAAGGAATATTAAAGCAAACGCAGAACGCTAAAATCAGCACTGTAGTGGCAAAGATGGTGGACTCCCCTTGTGTCAGAAAGAAGTCGTCCACGTACAACATGAGCGAATGTCTGATATAGATCAGAAGATGTAAAGCGCGAACGAAAAAGCTGCCCAGTCGGGCCCACCACAAAGCACTGAAACATGCGCCGAAGGGACAAACTGAATAAAAGTAGTGTCGGCCGTCACATTGAACTCCAAGCAACCCACGGTCACTCTCCTTGACTTTCATTGTTTTATGCGCAGATTTCACATCTATAGTAGCCGCCGAAAGATTGCAAGCCGGCCCCCGCAAGGGAAAAGAAGCTCGGGCCGATCCCAATAGCGGCAAAGTATAGCTCTCTTATAGCAAAGTTAAAAGTCAGCAATATATTTCTCACCTTCAAATATATTCGCAAATCAAATATCTTTGCCAATTCCATATATAGGAAGTTGCAAAAGCGAACGAGTGAGAGGTCGCTTCTTTTTATCAGCGCGAGCTGAAGCACGGGAGGTAAAAGTAAGTGGCACGAGCAACCACGAGTGTGAACCGACTACGAGTCGGCACATGCAGAGCACAACGACTGAGACAGGGTATGGGAGGGCGGGCAAAAAAAAATTCCTTTCGGCTCTCTGAGAGCCGTGAATAGATGTGCGACATGCAGGAAAATTTTCCCAATGGTTGAAACGTGAAAACTTGCTCGTTGAAACAACTGTAAACATTTGAGTGAAAATGCTGACTTTGCGAAAACAAAGAGTTTTCGCAAATTAACTTCAGCTATAAAGCTTTGTCGTACAAGTACGAAAGCTTGCTTATAGCAAAGTTAAAAGTCAGCAATATATTTCTCACCTTCAAATATATTCGCGAATCAAATATCTTTGCCAATTCCATATATAGGAAGTTGCAAAAGCGAACGAGTGAGAGGTCGCTTCTTTTTATCAGCGCGAGCTGAAGCACGGGAAGTACAAGTAAGTGGCACGAGCAACCACGAGTGTGAACCGACTACGAGTCGGCACATGCAGAGCACAACGACTGAGAGTCGTAGATGCATACCTCCCATGCACCTCATCTATGACTCGACGTCAGCGAGGAGAGTGCCTGCAACGAAGCATGCAGGACGATCCCTGAAATACGGCTCCAAGTAGGTCATCTCGGACCATTTTGCCTTCGAAGGGGCATCCCCCAAGTTGCTGTGGCTGGGGACTCGCATGAACCACGAGAGACATGGTCCTGGCTCATCGGCAGCCTCAAAGTGTAACAAGAGTTCTCGCCAATAAGGGTCAGTGGCAGACCCCGAGACGCATGCCCCCAGCACACCAGAATGGTCAATAAAGAAAAGTGTCCTCTTATTTGCAAGGTACTGCGACCATAGCGATCGAGCAAGGACTACAGCGAAAAGCTCTGTTTGCCCAATAAGGTGTCTCTTCTAAGAGGACCATTTGGACACAAGATCATCATTGACCTTACAGCCGAAAGCACGCACCTGTGGGTGTCGGCCCCGCACAATCAAAACTCCCCCGGCTGTGGCCAAGTGACCTCCGCTTGCAGTTGGCTCGCATGCGCCGTCAGTGAAGACCAGGACAGGAGGCTCACCCGGGGAAGAAGAAAGAGACCTAGGGGCACCCCTAAGGAGCCTAGCCCTAAGAACCTTAAAAGCTTGCAGCTGGTCGTCTCTCAGATCCACGAACTCCGACTTGCTGTGCTCAAGTTTGCGAACGTTCGCGACTGCCAGTCGCCCAGTTCTGCCGAGGATCTGGGCCTCAGCAAACTGGAGTCTGCCAAAGAGAGTCGGCAGAGTTCTGACCTCAACCCGACCTGAAGAAATGATGCTGCCTAAAGCTTCGGAGAGCGCAGCAGCTCGATCCGGCTTATTACCGATCTTTACACTCGCAAGCGAATCATCGGAGGTATCCACAAGAACTCCAAGCATTTCTGCGACGGTGGCAAAAGGTTTCTCTTTGGTCTTTGGGCTTGGCCATCTGAAATTGCAGGAGATCCATCAGCGAGTGAACAACGTGATCAGTCGACTGAGAGAGTAAAGTGGGGGCTGCAGCCGGATAATCGTCAAAATAGCAGCTGGTCAAGACGAGGAGTTCCCACAGAAGCCTCTGGAGGAAGAGCGAAACTCTGTTGAATTGCAGCACCGACGCGGATGCGCCGAACGGCAATGTTTTGCACACGAAGCCACAAGCGGAGCCACCTGGCATCTTCAGGACGAGAACCGCCTTCGCTTGCTCGGACGGCCTCAGAGGCAGCTGTTTGGAAGCGGATTTAAGATCATAGGCTTTGGTCTGCGGCTTGGAGTGCGCACGTCTTTCCAACAAGCGTGCACTGGACCACGAAGCCTAGTCCCATCGCTGAGCTCGAGATCAACGGAGCCTGTGTATTTACAAGCTTTCATGATATACATGCAAACCCATGCGACCTCGTCCAAGGCTTTGAGGGAAAGGCGCTCGAAGCATTCAAAACATGCGTTGACCCCATTCTCACTGAAGTCATCGATCGATGGGCCGCCACTTGCCCTGCCACACAGCGAACCTTCTGCAAGGCATCCAGCCTAGAGGAAAAATCAAGTCCACTTCTGCGCGAGAAAGCGGGCCGTGTAGCCACTGCTTCCCATTAGGATCGGCCTCCTCAAGCGTGATGTCCCAAAGGGGCTCGGAGTATTCTTGACCTGGTGCCTCCAAAGGCATCCCTTTTGACTCAGGTCATCTCAGGACACCCCGAAAAGTAGTAAAACCAAAAAAAAAACATACGCAGGCAAAAGGCCAACAGAAAACCAATATTGAGGACCCGTGGGCCACATCCTGGGATTCCAACGATTTGCACCTGTTAGCATGCACAATGTACTATCATAGAGGCTCATGTGTAGCAAAGGACCCCAGCACACCTATAATCCTGAGTGTCTTTCGAGTCTGTGCATCTCATCAGGCATGTGCCATGCATGAGCGGGTATATGTGCTAATCCAACAGGGCTTAGAACAACTTTCACGAACTATACTTGTGTTGCGACGACGAACATGTCCATGTTTGCATGTGGCTGCCACGTGCCTTTGAGCCTGTGGTGGAAGGACGGTCCGGGGCCCGGCCGAAGATGCACTCTGAAAGTACAAAGAGCATTGTGCAGTCAGTGCAGGTGACATGAATGTGTGGGCATGCACCGGGAGGTTTTTCGGTTTGGCAGCTTCCAACTTGGTTGTGTAGCTTCAGCAGCCATGCCGGGGGCTAAAGACAAGGATGCTCCTTTGCCAGTGGTTCCAGCCTGGCTGAAAAGGAAAGGGGATGAAGCCATCTATGATGTCAGACGTCTCATCAAGGACTGCCTTAAGTGGCATTCCTGTGTAGTGAAGATATACAGAATTGGAGGGCGGATTTCAGTTGGGGGGGGATCCATCCAGTGTAGCACCGCACTGTGCCAGGATATCCGGTCGAATCCTGCTTGCACGGCCAGAGCAAGAACGGGGTCAGTCATCGCCTTCCCCGTGAAGGTGGGTGACATCAATGAGAAGACAGTGAAGTGCAACAATGACCTTCTTAACCTGTATGCCTGGTTTGTCAAGAAATACCCGGGTCTCTACAGATCGGTTTCATTGCACAGGGGTGTGTTGTCTGACTGTGCAAAGTATTGGAAAACCCGTCCGGATGATGAAGCCTTTGACTACAAGAAGTGGAAGCCAGATGGCAAGTGTATCAAGTCATTGGTGTTGTGCCTTCGCCGGCTTCGCTTCCGATCAAAGAACCAGAGGGATGTGGATGTGTCTCTGCTGGCTGCTTCTTGCCTGCTTAGTTCTCTGTCTGTTGGATGTAATTATGTATAGTTTATTGACTGAAGTGGTGTCCAGTGCAATGCATTAGTATACTTAAGTTATTCATAGGGGTGTTTGCACTACATTAACACGAAGTAACCCTCCATGCATTCATGCATGTGATGTGCATTCATTCCTGGGTACATTTGCTGATTCGTGTCTTCATCCTTGACTACACATTTTATGGTTACATATGCAGAAACCGTCACGGGCTTGTGCACACGCCATCATGTGCATGTGTATGCATATGTCTAGGTACACACACACATACATAAATACATGTATACACACATATACATATATACATACGCTCTTCATATGCACAAATAAATTATGCATTTAGGAGCATACATACACGTGTACATATGTACATGTGCACATATATACATATGTACATACACACATGTATGCATACCCACACATATACACTTGTACATATAATAACCTGCACGTAGACATATACATGTACATATACATATACACATATACACAGACACACATACATAGACACATGCACACATACGCACATACATACCATAAGAAATCACTACGTTTGATCCGACCCCAGCTGCGATTCTATGTAAGGATGAGATGTTTGGCACCCCAGAGCGGGACGAGGGCTCAGAGCCCGACGATATGGATGATTGTGGTGAGGATGCCGAGGAGGAGGCCGAGGGGCAGGAGCCGGCTGATGAAGAGTTGGAGCCCTTGCCTGAGTCGCCTGGTCCGGGCTTCGACCCTGAGAAATATGCGGAGGAGCTCTCACCTGCTGGTGTGGCAGAGATTTGTTCCAGCCCCGAGGTGGCTCCAGCCAGCTCGTCTCATGAGACCAGTGGGGCTGTGGATGCAAAGGACAAGAAGGCGGAGCTGCAGGAACGATTGCGAGACTTGAAGCAGAAGATGGCGCTCAAGCGCCAGGAGACGCAAGTCGTGCCGCCGGACTTGTTGGACCGAGCTGTGGAGAAGCTGAGGGCCTTGCCCTCGTCTGAGGTGCAACAGTCGTGAAACTTTCTCTGAAGTTGATGAGTTTTGCATGGAGAATGAACATCCCCTGGCAGGTCCTTTCTGTTCGCTCCCAGAGCTCCTTTTGCACTGCCTTGCACCGTGCTGGACCGCTTGCCTCTCACTCCAGATCGAGTGAGCCGGCTGAGACTGTGTGGCTGGGCCTTGCAAATGATCGGTTGTTGATCCAAGTGCACATGGGTAACGGGTTCTGAGGCTGTCAAAGTTGTGGTGTGATTGTGTGTGATCGCATGTATATGTATGTGTATACACATATATATACATATATGTGGTATCTTGGGGGGTTGTCAAGTTTTTTTGTAGCATGGAGGGTTTCATGGGTTTCCTATGTAGTATTTATATATATACTTATGTATATGTACATGTGTATGTGTGTATATATATATATATGCTACCCCCCCCCTCCCGAATCCGCGCTTTGACTGTTTGTGCTCTACTGTGTCCTATTAAAATGTTATCCAACCCAAACCTCTAACCGACCCCAACCCCAAAGCCACAGACTCCACTCGCCGCGGCATCACCTGAGCTGGGCGGGAGGTTTTCAAAACAAAGTACGAAGACACCCTACACACCAACAAAAATAACTTTAGTTCCGATCCCATGGCCGCTTGTTTTTGCGCGAGGATGCCCCGTCAGTGAGCTCGCTTGGCGAGTTCGTCTAGGAGCAAGGCGTACTCCAACTGTGTGAGACGTCGTTCATCGTCATCGTCGTCGTACGTGAAGCAGTTGCCCTTGCAGCGCCAAACCACTGTTCCTTATGCAAGACCAAGACTTTGAGCTCAGCAGTGATGTTTCTGCTTACAGTACTACGATATACTAACCGCGACCAGGATTCCGTTCGGAAGATTTACATAGCGGCGAGGCCACTCAACTGGAGCTTTAGGTACAACCATTGGGTTCACGGGCACAACACCCAAGACTAACTTGAGGATATCATCTGCGACACATACCGGGAGATGCTGCCATATCACCACATCAAAGGACCAAGTCTCCATGGCGTCTGCTTTGCAGGGACGATCTCCGACTCGACCTGTTCCTACGATAGCGTTCTTGAGTTGCAGCAGCTTCGTGCAGTCTAACGGTTCGATTGCTTCTTCGGGCACTGAGGGAGCGTTTCTCCAATGGAAGATCAGACAAGATACCAACGTACAGCTATTCAACCAGAAAACCGAATTACTGCTCCACATCAAAATGAACCCAAATACATTTCAAACGGCTACATAACCAATTTTTTTCCGGCCATGGGTCCAGAACTTGAGCCAGGACCTTTTCTAATTGCAGCTGAGTCGCTGTGTAACACCACCGCCAGAAAAGACTGAACAAGAACGCTTGTAAGTATGGTGTTCATGCAAGATAAGTGATAGGGCAGAGCTGCCGTATCACTTGAACATGCGTGACACGAACGACTGCATGTGTATACATTATTTGTCGTTACCTACACGCACACACATACCACACGTGTTGTCTTCATGTGTTGCGAGTGATAAGGCAGAGCAGCCGTATCACTTGTGACACAAAGGACTGCATGTGTATAAACTACTTTTTTGATATATAAATTCATGCATATACCGCACGTGTCTTCATGGTCTGGTTACGTACACGCACGCACATACCACACGTGTTGTCTTCATGTGTTGTGAGTGATAGGGCAGAGCAGCCGTATCACTTGAGACACAAAGGACTGCATGTGTATACACTGCTCTTTTGGTATGTAAACTCATACATATACCGCACGTGTTGTCTTCATGTGCTGTGAGTGATAGGGCAGAGCTGCCGTATCACTTGGGTGCGAGTGACACAAACGACTGCATGTGTGTGTGTGAGAGAGATTGTGTGTGTGTGTGCCGCATGCCTGCACATGATTGACAACATAGCTCATACCAGATGCACTTGCAGGGAGAATGCACGGACGTTTTCGTTTACATCGTTTCATGGGATTGCGAAAAAACAGTTAAAGCAAGACAACCAGCAGCGACGATTCTACAGCACAGTACAGCAGTTACAAGCGAACGAAACGATGTTTTCGAACCACCAGATGCAGCAGAGAAGGGCGGTCTGAGGGAGCTAGTCGCTCGAAAGGTGCCTCACGCGAGCGAAGATCAGAGTCGTTGTCATTGTAGACAGACTTACTTCATAAACTTGCGCATGTTATCAGCGCACAGTTCGCCAAACTTAAGCCATTGGTCCTCATTACGGTACCAATACTCATATTGAGCAGACCTCAGTTTGGCACAAGCTGTCTGCTACCAGCCTTGGTGTGCTGGTTCACTCTGACCCGGTCCTTCAAAAACCTCCAACAACGATCGATAATCTGTGTTCCAGACTTCACAACGATCTTTTTGTTGGACTTAGGGATCTTGTGGGTCACGACCTTGACATACTTCGGGTTCTGCCAGATGAACTTGCCGTTGCGCTTCACGCGCTTTTTGGCATGAACTACCTTGTCGTGAATGACACCGTCGATCTTGGCCTTGTAGGACCGGGCCGCATCCGTGTGGAGGACAACCTTGCGGTCCTTGAGAAGCTTCGTTCCTAGGGTCTTCCACTCGGTGCGCCTGATTGCTCCTGGCCCTGGTGCTCGCTTGACAGTGAGTTTCGGCTTCAACCTGGAGAGTATGAGCGTTTCAGGGCGGCCTCGCTGGATTACCCCCGCCCACTGTTCCCACATGGTCGTGGTTTTGTTGTTCTTCACGAGGTGCTTGAAGTCCACATCCTGGGAAATATCCCTTCTGTCGAATGTAGCTTCATCCTTGCATGTATTTGTTGAGTGTCTGAGAGCATTGTTTGTTTATGTCTTACTTCCGAAGCTTTATCTCTGAGATTCCACAATCTTTATTCGAAATACACCAAAGCCAGACAACATGATGTAGACGACAAGTTGCTGCTTCCACATCTTTCCAGGTTTTGCCGTCGCCAAACACGATGTTTTTCTCCTGCTTTTCCACGAATGCTTTACGAAGGTCGCAAATCCTCGTCTCCATGTCTTCGATAGCCTTGTGGTTCACATTCAAGAGGACGTGGATGGCTGGATGTGGTACGCGTAGCAGTTTAAGTAGCAGAAGAGATGCTTGTATCTGGAGGCCCCGTGAAGATGGACCCGTTCCTTGGGTGAATACCGGATGCAAGTGGTGAGGGCTCACATACTTGTGGCAATGGCGGGAGCTGCACCGATGTTTGTACAAAGAGGTGCGCTTTTCCACACATAGGTCGGACAAGATGCCAACCTGACAGTGAGGGCACGTCTTCCCTTTCCACTTCGGCAAAATCTTGTCCGCCACGAGCATAGTGATAATCTTCTTGTCGCTGGCCATGAGGAGCTGAGGAAGACTGCGTTGCCACTTGATCTGGTCCTTGCGTTGTCCGCGTGGACCAACAAGGAGTTGCTCTCGGACATACGGTGTGTCCTTCCACAACTTGTCCTTCTTGATGGCAGGCTTCTTCTGTGCAGCACGGAATTTGCCCTTCTTGTGGATGATGGGTTGCTTGCACACCTTTCCCATGGGTGGACAAAGCTAGAAGAAAACGGACTGGCTCTTGAGATGCTGCAAGACTCAGAAGCAGAATGCAGATTTGTTGGGAAGCAACGTGTCTTGATACTAAGCCACGATGTCAGACAAGACTGTGCTGCACAATGGAGCATGTTGATTCAAGTGCATACTGTTCGCAAGGATTTTTTCTGTCTGTGCAAGGCTGCGATCGGAGATTGACTCGTATGTATACGTGTTCTCTGAACAAAAAGGCAGTTATGTAATCATGCATAGTCACGGCAAGAATCTCGTGTAGTTACATGAAGATACCCGTTGTGCAAGAACACGATACTCAAAATACGAGTGTCACATCGTTGTCGACTGCACGATGGCTGTGAGATTAGCACTCAGATGTCTCAGATGTTGTTCTTGACTCTCAGATGTGCTGGATGCTGGGTTTCACTGGTGGTCGTCCTTCGCGAGTTCCTCCGCGACCAAAGCGTCGAGCTCTTGTGATAGATCATCCATAGGATCGCGGATAGGCGACGCAATGTCCATCTCACTGCCGGGACTGGAAGGTGGAGGATTTGGAATGTGAGGGCCACGCGGATCGGCAGAAGTTGCAGATGTCTTTGGCGATGGGACCTTCGATTTCGGAGAAGGCCACGGAGATGAAGACCTGGGCTTTGCACATGCCGCAGAAGATGGCGAAAGGTCGAGTTGTACATCTGACTTTTGAAGAATAGATGCAGTCACCGGTCGGGGAGATGCTTTGGGGGATGCCTTTGACGGAGATGCAGCTGATGATGAGTCTGAGATGTTAATCTGCAGAGGTCTGTTGCCAGATGATCTTTTTAAGTTTGCAAACATTGCCTTGACGTCCTCCGGCTCTTTTTTTATGGTGACCTTAGTACAAGAAAAGCACACAACCATAAGAGAAAAAAAAAAAAACAATCATAGTAAAAAACCTAAAACCTCAAACCCTCACCATACCAGCCTCAGCCGAGAAACGCTTGGAGCAGACATCTGGGGATTGAGGTCTACTGCATGAGATTCCTGCTTCGGTTTATCTTCGTCATGGTGGTGCTCGTCATGACTGGTCTCGTTGGTGAGCAGAGCATTGGAAGACCGCACAGATTTGAGGCGCTTGGCAGGGAGGCTAGCTGGAGCATCTTGGCAGAGGTCGGGATAGAAGACGGTCGTGGCGTCGATGTTGGCGAGCTCAGGACGGCACTCACGCACAACTTTTTTACCAGAGAAGTCCTTTTGCATAACTGTGTAACACCGGCCAACCGCTTCACCGTCGAGGGCGGCTTGCAACAAGTTGAGCGACCATTGTAAGTTGACGCTGTGGTTGGGCGGCAGCTTGGAGAGATTACCCTTCTTGTAGGCGTCGAAGATTGGCCTGGCGCACGGCGACACCATGCCGAGGTCATCGGAAGGCCAAGCATGCCGTTTGACTGGTGCTTGCTGTGTGCCTGGAGGACGAACATAGATGCCCATGTCTGTGAACAC